CATGTGGATAAGACTATGGTGTAGTTACACACGCTTAGGTACAAGCATAAGGGGAGCATTACATTACAAATGCTTGAGTTACTAAACAATTTTTTTATTGTGTATTATTTGGTATACAATGTGTAATACAAATAAAATAATATTATTTTTATCTTATAAAATAAAACTTAATTTAAAAAATTATTTTTATATAAGACTCAATTCATATTGTTTCATATATTAATAATTTTTAGACTAAACTATACTTAATTAAAGTGTATTTTATTATTTTGATTAAATATTATTAATTATAAATTTTTAAAGAGTATTTTAATTGGTTAAGAAAAAAATGAATATTAATTAGGAGAGACAAATAGTATAAGTCATACACTCTAATTTGTTAGAGAATATATAAATATTAAATAGGAAAGAAAAATAGCATAAAAGTAATTTTAGGGAAAAACATATATAAATAAGACAAATGTATTATTATCAACTAAATTAACTATTTTTCTTAATCTTAATGAATTAGGCAATTAGATCTTATATACAAATAAAGGTAGTATAAAATTTACAATATTATCCTTCTTAATATTATTATTTTAATTGGTGATGGTAACCATATTAACAACAACAATGAAAACGTTAATGACATTAATAAGGCTGGTAAATGTATTAATGATAATGATAGTAGTGATAATAATATTGATAATTAGTGAAGATATAGTTGTAATAGTGGCAAGAGCCATGACTCTAGTGGTGACAAAGTTGGTTATAATATATGAGATAAATTAGAGCTGTCAAAATGAGTCACGATCCGTGAGTCAACTCAACTTACCATAGGATCGAGCCTGGTTGAGATTAAAAAAATTTACAAATTTTAATATTGCTGAAAATTAAACTCAGCCCATTAAGAACCAGGCTCACCCGAATTGAACGCATAATGAGCCAAATTGAATCATGAGTCCACTCACAAAAAGAAAATCTATCATCCACTTATGTAGAAAAATTAAAAACCTATCGTCCACTCATAAAAAATAATAAAAATCTATAACTGACTTATTCATTTAAGTAAATGTTACATTGGAAGAGTTATTTATTAGGTCAGATACTTATTTGTGAAAGAAAAAAAATTAGAAAAAAACAAATTGTGGTTGGACATTAGGAAAAAATATTTTTTAAAAAATAAATTTGACTGAAAACAAATATTTTTTTTTAAAAGAAATATAGCTAGACATATTAGAGAAAAAAAGAATTTCACATACTTAGAGACTGCTCCACTCTCGACGACTCTAGAACATAACCGAAACTATCTGGAGGCCACTACTGAATCACAAGGTTCCCAAAATCATTGCTGTTATTTGGTGGGCATAGAGATGGAGAAATAACATGCTCCTTGCTCAAGAGAAATGGAACATAATGTATGTAAATTCGTAACATTAATATCACACACAAGCTTTACGTTCCTGACCCACAACCTAGAAGATGATCCTACGTGAAATTAAACACAGATGGTAGCTATACATCCACGACTAATCATTTTGGTATAGAAGGAGTAGTCATATGATGAAACTAGAAACAAGGACTTGGTTTTGGAACAAAAGCCTCGAGCATTTGGGACATAGAGTGATAGGTCACCACATGTTGAGAGACCTGTTATGGGATATCCACAAATTTTTGGATAAAGACTAAGAGGTTTCACTCCGACATATATATTCACAGCAGAGATGCAAACTGTGATAGATAGTTTAGCAGCATGTGGTGCTAAGAATGAAGGCACCTCAACTGGGATACACGTCCAAACTTCACCGTGTGGATCTTTTAGATAGAGACTTTTTCCTTTTCTCTTACATTTTAGTTTCTTTGTTTTCGCTTTCTCCATGCACAAAAGACAAAGAGTTTAATAATAATGTAATCACAATGTTAAAATAGATTTACACTATTAATTAATCACAAACTACATTTAATATTATCTTTTACTTAATTGTTATGAAATTATTTAATTATTATAAAAGTCAATAATTTATTATAAATAATTATTTCTAATTGAATGATGATATATATAAAATAAATATATTACTTATTTTTTCTAAAAATATTAATTTACGTCATTCATATATAATTATAAATAATTTAATTTTAAATTCTTTTTTATAATTTTTTATTCATCAAAATTAAAAAATGACATCAAAATTTGAATTTATGATCAGGTGCATTAGGATTCTTTTTTTATTTATTTATAAAATTGGAATTAATATTATAAAAAGTATACTTAAATAATAATATTTTTATCATATTTATTCATAAATACTAGATAAAAGTTATTTAGTTTTACTAATTATATTATTAATGTAACGTATCATTGATTAATCTCTAAAACTTGATTAAAGTAACATCTTTAGTAGTTTTTGATTTTATCTACTAATTTATCATGTGTAATGTATAAACATATTTATTATATATAATATAATTAAAATTTATAATGATTATATATATATAAAATATATTTGAATATATAAATTATATTTAAATTAAGTATACATAAATATTTTAAAATATATAAATTATATTTTAAATTTATGATAATAATTTTAATTTAAAAAAAAGATTTTATTTATTGATAATTTATTTTAAAATATTAATATTTATTTAATAAATAATTATGATAAATAAAAATTAAATTAGATAAGATGTTAAACTTTTTTAAAAACTATATCATTGAAGAAAATTCTAAAATCACTCTCATATAAAATAAAAATTTATATTTAATATATAAAAATTAGTTGTATTTTTTATATTTACAAAAACCGATACTTGTTTTTTTTTTAATGTTATTGAATCGTGATGAATAACTTGTAGTTGTTGGTATTTTATTTTTATTTTTCACATTAATTACATCTTCATATTCTACTTATATTTCATTTTTCTTAAACCTACATATAGGGCAATTGTTATTTAATAAAATACGTACACATCTATGTTTTTATACTGCTAATAATAAAAAAAATTCATTTGATGCCATTTTTATATTTTTCAATTTATTCTTAATAAATATACATAATTTTTTTAATAATTTTATAAGTTATTAAGATAAATTTATTATTTTATTTTTCTTTTTAATATCGTTGTTGGAAAAAAAGATACACACTAAAAAAAGGTTTGAATATTATATATAAAAAATTTGCCTTTTTGCAATGAGAGAGTGAAAATGCAAACAAATAAAGTGCCAAAAGGTGATAAGACGAAGTACTAACAACAAATGAAATGACATAAATGTTTTATGCTTGTTCGTCTCCAATCCAGAGATTATATCCAGTTCTCAATCTAATCAGATTGAGTTCTACTATCTTCAAGAAGATACAAATATTCTTTCAATAAGTCTCTCTAAGTTCAAACTAAGTATTCTTTCAACAAGTCTCTCTAGACTCAAATTCAAGTATTCTTTTAACAAGTCTCTTTAGGCTCAAACCCAAGTATTCTTTTAATAAACTCATTTAGGCTCAAACACTAAATATTCTTTACACAAGTCTCTCCAGGCAAAAATATAGCTTTGTCTCTTCTAAACATGATGTTATGCAAATTAAGTACACATAGTCTACAAAGAACTCTATACAAGATTTGCTATGAAGATCTTTATCGTAGAGCTTCAGCTTACATTTCTCATTGCGTGAGTTTTCTCAGTGTAAGATTTTTTTTTGTTTTTTTGTTTTTTTGTTGTTTTTTAGCACTTTCTTTTGTTTTGTTTGCATACTCTTCTTACTTCATCATTCATATTACACCCATCCTTATTCACATTGTGCATTCTATTCTATTTGTTGCTTGAGGGCTTGACCTTTATATAGTAGCTTTAGAGAAGATGATTGTTGCAGTAAGGTTCAAATTTAGACGTCTATATTTCTTCAAGTGTTACTTTGTCTATCTTCTTGCCTGATCATAGGGATTACTTTTGATGTATTTAATGAAAGCACTAAATGCTGATTAGAGATGCATGTATCCCCTATCTGATCTAGGCAACTACTTATCATCTTTTTCTTTTTACTTTGAGTGTGACAGAGTGGTGTCAGCATACAATAGTTGAGGCTAGTGTAAAGTAATCTCTTTTAGTGTCTTGTCCGTGATATCCGAGATTTTCTTTTTCTATCCCGACATAATGATTTGACTTTCTCTTTTTGAAACCTTTCATTTTTCTTCGAGAAAGTTTTTCATTTGATCTGTTAAGGAATAAAATATTAATATTTTTTAAAGAATAATCTGATTTTTTAACGAGAAATAAATATAGTCTTACAAAAGAAATATAACATCTATTTCGTCTAAAATAATCTCTTTTAGAGAAACTCATGACTTCTTATTGTTGTCATAAAATGTGTTTTATAAAACTCTAATCTATTTATAAAATTATTTGTTATCATTAAAATTTATAACACTTTAAGGGATTCAAGATTGTATCTTGATTCTTTAGACTTCATTTTGATCTTATATAATCACGTGGTGTCTTTTTTATTTTATTTTATTTTTATTTATTACTTTATTAATATATATCCATATATAAAGAAAATATATCATTTTGTAATAATTTTTTAATTCATATTTTTTTATTATTTATTATCTTTAAATTTTTAAATAATAAAAAATAATATTAAAATTTAATCTATTCAAGTCGTAAATCACTTATTTTATTATTTAATCTTAATTATTTTATTTTTTTAAAATAAAATATAAAAATATGAAATATATCAACATATAAAAGGGATACATGAATTTCTAATTATTTTTTTCTTTACACTTTTTAGATAAATTTAATCTTAAATTTTTAAATAATAAAAAATAATCACTTATATAATTATTCAAATAAATTAAATATTTTTAATTACTCAAATTTTTAAGTTTTTAAATATCTTTATTATTTAAATTTAATTTTTAATTTAATTTTAAAATATTTAAATAAAATTAAAGACACAAAAATATCTTTATCTCCTTAATAATAATAATAACAATATATAAATAAAATACGAGAAGAGAAAGAGGAGAGATGTAAGTGGGTCATATGGACACGTTATGAGCAGGCAATTCCATGTGGCCACATGGATGAGGGCAAGAAGAAGATGAAGAACAACAACAAGCAACACACCAACACCAACTCAAACATCTAAGACCCAAATTCTCCCTCTCTCTCTCTTTCTCTGTGAGAGGAAGAAGGACATAGAAGAAGATGAAGGAAACCAGTGATGGGTTCGTGAGAGCGGATCAGATTGATCTGAAGAGCATAGACGAACAGTTGCAGAGGCACCTCAACAAGGTGTTGACCATAGATAAGAAAAAGCGCTCCGAAGAGGATGAAGATGCTGATCAAGTTCATGTTCACACCACCAGCGCCACTGCTTCTCCAACTGCATCTAAGAGACACACTGCTGTCGTTAACTTCAAGAAGCGAAAGCAGGACTGGGAGATTGACCCTTCTAAACTCATCATCAAGAGTCCTATTGCTCGTGGCACTTTTGGCACAGTCCATCGTGGTGTCTATGATACCCAAGATGTTGCTGGTCTGTGTTTTCTTTCTTGACACAAAAAAAAAAAAAAAATAGAAAGTTTTTGGGATCAATTTTTTACTTATCAGATTCAGATGCATAATTCCCCTCCCACTTGGTGGAGTTTATTTAAAAATGTGTTTTTTAACCATCTTTCTTCTTCAAAATTAAATTTTTAATCCGTGTAAATAATAAATAAATTTCGACGGATGAAGTTGTAGAAGTTCTTATTTTCTTCAGCAAAATTATCATCTGAATTAAATTCCTCCAATTAGTTCCCTTCTGGGTTTTCTCGAAAAGAGTTGACTTTTACAATGATTTGGTGTGGGGTTGAATTTGTGGAAATAATAGTGTGTAGATTTGGATGATACTTTTAGCGTCTTAAAATTCATGTGATCCCTCCGTTCCGGTTTTGGTCTTATGGGTGGTGAATTTAATTAATACGATGTTATTGTTTGGGTAAAATTAGTGGTTTCCTTTTCTGCATTTAACTGATCACAGTTAGTGTGATTACTTGCTTAATGTTCAGTGAAATTGTTGGACTGGGGAGAAGAAGGACAAAGGACAGAAGCAGAAGTTGCCTCGTTGAGGGCAGCGTTTACCCAGGAAGTTGTTGTTTGGCATAAACTTGTTCATCCCAATGTCACAAAGGTTAATTTCAATTTCTTCAACATCAATTTATGTTATTTTGTTTGTGTTATTGTTATTGTAATTATAATTTGTCGAGCTGAACTGTGGTTTCAATGTTGCGTATGCTGATTTTATTTTATATTATTTGGACGGAGGGATCCATCCAAACATAGAACTTCCTGCCGTCTGAGGTCCTGTGAACTTATATTATTAGCAGAGGGTATCATTTTTAATAGAATCCAAATCAGTCCTTGTTTATAAATATGCCTTTGCATATTATGTCTATGCAGATCTGCTTTCAGTTTTATACTTTATTTGTTGTTGCATACTTGTATATGATGAATTGATGATGTCTTTCAAAGGGTTCAAGTAATTATGTCTTTGGATACTATTAGAGTTGGCCTAGTGATAGAGGGATTTGAAGTAGTATGTATAGAATCCTAAGTTAAAATCTTGTGTTGTCATTGTAATTATGTCTTTTGATAAATATTTAATTCTCAAGGATGCCAAGTTTTGTGGGTTTTACATTTCAGGGATTTCCTTCTTAACTACGTCATCACCACTTTCCCACCTTAGCTCTCTGTTCTCCTTTCACCTACACTAAACAGATTGAAATCACCTGTCCCATTTTCCTGTCTCCAATCCTATCCCCTAATAAAATTATGACACGTCAATTAAAATGTCCAGCTCATGTGTAAAAGAATTTAACAGATATTAAGGCGCAGTTTGTGTAACTTCCTCTCTTTCCCCCCTACTGTCATGTTCTCCACCATAACATATTCTTGATATCATGTGCCACACCAGATGTGCCCACATGCCAAACATGACTACCCACCAGGAAATCTCCAAACCAATAGCGGCACCATAACGTCCAAAATCTCAGGCGATAATGAAAATCCAACAGGTGACCACATTTACCAGCAATGAAACCCAAGCAATAACTGCATTTTTGAGCTGGCACTGCAAGAAACTGAAATGCGAAACTGAAGTGCAGAGGATTCACCCTGCTCCAGTCTGCTATGCCATCCGGCTGTCCCAGTAATTTCAGAAGTAGTGTGGTGAAATGTAAAATGACAAAAACAGGAAGCAATATAGAAACAATGTAATCTAGGATTGATGAATGTTAACTGTCTCTGGTTCATAAATGAGTATTCTGGTGTGGTGTATGAGATCGAGAACATGTTAATGGTGGAGAAGGTGAGCATGCAAAGAGAAAATAGGAAGTTACACTAATGAAGTTAATGGACATTTTAATTGATGTGTCATAATTTTATTGGGGGACAGGGTTGGAGACAGGAAAATGGGACAGGTGATTTAAATCCACACTAAACTTGAATCTGCTTGCAATTATGGAAGGGATTTCCTTTTTTTGTTGTTGAGGGCTATAATAATTGTTTTAAAAATTTTCATGCACATTGTTATACGGGCATGATGTATGCAGGTTACCTACTGTAATGGTATTCTAGTAATCCATTGGTAGAACACTGAAATATGAGAAATTCAAGTATTTTACAGAAGTAATAATATGTTAATCTTATAATACTGAAGTTTATTGGACACCTACAAAGAAAACATCTAGAAGGACACGTGAAAAAAGTAGATGGCATGATTTTTAGTCTTGTTAAAAGGGAGAGAGGGAGACCAATAATGATAGTGGAGGAAGTTGTTAAGACTTAAGAGAGATCTCAAGATGAATAAGTTCTATGAGGATTTGATCTTTATCTGAGTCCAATGACATCGTGTGATTCATGTAGGCAATCTCAGTGGGATCAGACTTTTATTGTTGTAAAATATTGAAGTTTATTCACGACATATGAACCTAACTGTCCTAGATATGTTTTTCTTTCTTATTGTTTCTTTGTTGATATCTGAGATTCTTGTGATATGTAAGTTGGAATAGATTAATCTGAGTCTTCTCGTAGAAGATCTTCACAGAAGTATCATTGCATTTACTTTTGGCATTAGTTGCTTATACTAACCTTATTAACAAGATACAGTGCTTGAATTCAAGAGTTTTTAGATAATATTTAGTGGACTAAATTTTAACAAGTTTGGATTTCTTTCTTTCTTTCTTTCTTTCTTTTTTTAATAAAATTCCCTATTGACTATAGCCTATCCTTTATGAATTGATTATAGAACTAGTAACTTAACTACAACCTTTCCAACAGAAGCTTGTAAATAAATAAGCCAGCCTTTTTTGAAATTTACTTGCAATGAAAGCTTCTAGTCTTCAGGTTTCTATTGTTTATAGTGAATCTGTTATTTGGAAAATTTGATGTCTATTATCACATTCTCCTTCAAATGAACATAGACCCTTTTTGGACCAAAGAAAAGATATTCTGTATCTTCATTACATTTATGTCCATTCATTTGGTATGTTGGGGGTTTCCTGATCTGGTCCTTGTCCATTTGTCCTGGTACTAAAGATGCACGCAGGTATGGAAAACAAGTGTAATCATCAAGCCCCTATTACCTTTTTTGTTCTTTTTCTTCATGACATATTCTCTTTCCTGTTCAATCTTGTGATATTTTGCAGTTAATTTGTTTTCTCTCTTTCCATAGGGTATTAAGCACTTTTCTGCAAGCATTTTTCTATCCTAGATTTTTTAATCATTTACATTTTCCATTTTTAGTTTATAGGCGCAACGATGGGGTCTTCTGAGTTGCAGATACAAACTGATAATGGTCTAATTGGCATGCCGAGCAATGTCTGTTGTGTTGTTGTGGAGTATCTTGCTGGAGGCAATCTGAAACAATACCTTATAAAGAACAGGAGGAGGAAGTTAGCTTTTAAGGTTGTCATCCAGCTGGCACTTGATCTTGCAAGAGGGTAATTACATTTTCTATTGTGGTTTAGCAGGTTGAGAACAACAATTCTCGTTATTGTCTGTGTAACTACTCAACTTGAATTCACTTGGTTTTACAGGCTAAGTTATCTTCACTCTCAGAAGATTGTCCACAGAGATGTAAAGACAGAGAACATGTTGTTGGATAAGACCCGCACAGTTAAAATTGCTGATTTTGGCGTTGCACGTGTTGAGGCATCAAATCCTAATGATATGACTGGGGAGACTGGTACTCTTGGTTATATGGCTCCAGAGGTGTGTAGTCAATACCTTTAAAATCGTTTACAAATTAGAAATTATTGTGCTAGTATGTGTGACACAGTGGAGGCCTTAGTGCAAAGGCATGTAGTGTACAAATAGATTTTTGATGGGGAATTAGTGTATCCGGTCCCCATATTTCATCCAAGTGGGGTAGATGTCTCCAATTGCCATATTCAGAGAGTTTTTCAATGAGGATGCATGATGATGACCTTAATGTTGCAGAAAATAGTGTCTGAAACTGTGAATCAAAAAGAAAAAAGATAAGATAAAATATTTTAATTTGATCAAAGAGAAAGCCCTTGTAATTGACTATTTATTTTTTATTTTCCCTGTGGGAATGGTTTACAGGTTTTAAACGGCAACCCCTATAACAGGAAATGTGATGTGTATAGTTTTGGCATCTGTTTATGGGAAATATATTGTTGTGACATGCCATATCCTGACCTAAGTTTCTCAGAAATTACTTCGGCTGTTGTTCGCCAGGTATATTTTCTTCTCTGCTTTGATTGAACTTTCTCACTTGAGCATGCAGTGCTTGTTTATCACTGTGGATTCGGTTTCTGTGAATCCATTATGATTATATTATTATCTTCTGTTGGAACTTTAGAATTTGAGACCAGAAATACCAAGATGTTGCCCTAGTTCTCTAGCAAATGTAATGAAGAAGTGCTGGGATGCCTCCCCTGACAAGCGGCCGGAGATGGATGAGGTAGTTTCCATGCTGGAGGCCATTGACATATCCAAAGGTGGAGGTATGATCCCTCATGATCAGCAGCAGGGTTGCTTTTGCTTCCGCAAGCATAGAGGGCCCTGAAAAAGTTTTATTCTTTACTCCATCAAACAATTTGGTTATAGTGATTTTTCACTATTTGAAGAATCCATTTGTATCTATAGTGAGAAAACAGGATTTGGATACTAGATGAGACAAATACACAGTTGGGGGTACAGTACAGGTAGGAGGTGCTGGTGACATGTCAATATGTTGGGTGTGTAAAACTGTACCTCTCATTTTCTTTTACTCTTACCTTTTTTTCCCACATTGGTTTGGGTTCTGTGGGTTTGGGTATTACTTTCACTTTGCCGGATTGGACTTGTAACATGCAGGATCTTCATTATACTATTTCAATCATAATTGATGTGATTAAGCTGGATCCATTTGCTTGGTATTCTCATATCCATTCTCTATATTAGTTTGCTCATTGAAAACTACTAGTATTTTGAGAAAGGTAGTGGTGAGGTAATGTTGTTTGAGTGGTCTATGTGGTATCAAGATTGAATGGAGAGAAAATAAAGATCAAAATCAATGTTTCACACAATTCTCTTTACTTATATTTCCATCAAGGACAGTGCCATTACTATTTGAATGTTGACTAAAGCCTAATTCTTCTAAAGGATGAAAACAACGAAAATAGGAATAGTTGTTCAACAGTAGTGAGATACAATTGCATTGCATGCAAAGTCGCTTTTATATAAAAAGAAAAACTGAACAGGCATATTTTGGATTGAAACATTTTCAAGCTTTTGGTCATCCACGTGGGTTCAGATCAAATAACTTTTGCGATGTCTTGTGCCAAGTTCTTGATGAAAAGAATAATTGTCTATCATACTAGGAAGAGGAGCAAGTCCACAAAGTTTAGAAGATTTCTCTAAAGGGAATTTATTTTTTAAGCGAACAAGAATGTATTAATCTTTCATTTAATTTGAAGCGTACCATTGCCATAATCCACTAAAATTAGAAGGTGAATATATTCTTGTTAACCCTTAATACATTAGGTTTTTCCTTTTTCTTGATACTTTTTTTATCCCTTTCTCGACACTATTGACAATTACCAAAACGGTGGGCTAATACTTCAGGTCTATCAAAGAAAATATTTATAAAGGGTTAATTTGAATAAATTTTTTCATAAGAATTTTTAAGAGAAGAAAAAATGAAATCAATTTCTTTGTATGCTAAAACAATTATTATGGAAGAGTTTCTATAAGTATTTATGAAAAAGTTTATCCAAACAATCTTAAAATATTTTATCAAGATTGCATGGAATGCTAATTATAAATATTTTGATGTTTGATGTGGATATGTGAATATAATTAAAGTTCAAAAAGTACCCATAGGATCAGTTTAAACTACAAAGAGAGAAGATATATGACACTCGAATCACCCAGTTGATAGTGATTTTGGAGGGTTTATTTTATTAACCTGACGAACTTAGTTTTTATAATAAGTATAGAATTTCACAAGTAATATCCTACTCAATGATATTTCATATATTTTTTTTAACCATGATATGAGTAAGAATAATCAACCACTGAAAACAATAACTAATATTCATCAAAGATCATAAATGCATTTAATGTGAGTATTTTTCTTGGATAATTTATTTTCAAACTTATCTATATGTCAAGTAATGTTGATTGTGATACCAATCTGAATAAGTATATTGATAATGTTGAGTAAGTAAGCACCAAGTTTATGTCATTCTCCTTTGCTATCACCAGTTCATTATCATAAAAAATAAAAAAATAAAAAAAATAAAGTAAACGAGCTCAAATGAGCATATGCAACATTAAGGCCCACAACAATACAACAACAAGGAGTGTGACGATCTCATCTACACGAGATGAATGTTATGATTTCAAAACTACAAAATAACTTATTCTTTAAAGGGACCTCTGTGTATTGACATTTTTTTCCCCCTTTAACTTTCGATCTTTCTCAGTTCGAAGAAGAAATCATACAATATTAGGGGTTTCTTCATTCCAGTTGGTTGTTCTGTAGTAAATGGCATAGAGGGAGAGCTGCAACAATCCAGAAAGTGTTCCCAAGCTATTGGGAATCTACACCATTCCAAAACATTTGTTAGCAATCATGATATATACCCTAAAATCATTCTTTTTTCACAATCAATTTATTGATGACACTATTTCTTCTATTTTCTTTTTTGGTGTGTGTGAAGCAAATTTATTTCTCCTAATAAAATCTTTACTATATACAAATCTATAACTTAGATCAATATCTTCTAAGGAAAATTGCTTACTTTGTTGCTTTCATAAATAATACTCTCTCCAGCTTATAATAAATATTATTAAAAGGAAAAAAATAAGTGTTAAAACAAATATAAGTATAGTTTTAGCTCTTCCATATAATATTATTTATTTATATCCTTAATTAATAATAATCTTCAGAATATTGCTTTGTGTTACATGACTTCTTATAAAAAAAATTAATTTCCTTGAAAATGAATCATTAATAATAAGGTTAATTTCTTAAAATACTACATATTTTCATCTATTTTTTAATTTTTTTAATTTGTGTAAAAAAGTTTGGAATGAAACTTGTTATGGATAAGTAATATCTTCATTCTTATATATAAGACTCAATTACTTAATTTATTAATATTAAAAAATAGTTAATATAATTGATAACAATAAATTTACTCTATTTTTTTAAACTATCCTTATATTATTCATTTATCTAATTATTACATCTGCTTTTACTTTTAAGACCTAATTTAGAATAATTATTTATTCTTTTATATAAGACCTAATTTATACTGTCTCATATATCAATCATATTTAGACTAAAAATATCATTAATTAAAGTGTGTTCCCTTGAATTAGTAAAATGCATTAGTTATAAATTATTTAAAGAGTATACATTTTAATTGATTAATAGAAAGATGAGTATTAATTCTGAAAGAGAAACAATATAAAATATACACTCTAATTAGTTAAAAAATATAAGTATTAATTAGAAAAGAGAAGTGATAAAAAGATAGTTTTAGAAAAAATAAATAAAATAAATTTATTATTATTAATTAAATTAACTATTTCTTTTTAATTTTAGTGAAATAGGTAATTGAGTAATTTAAATATAGGAACCAAGTTAGTAATATTTATTTCTCTCCTACTTATTGCAACCTCCCACTCACCTCTCATTTATACAACAAATAGAGAATTTGTAAAGAGTAGTTTTCAATAATATATAAATAACATTTAAATATAAGCTTCTCTTCCATGGAAAAGAGAAATATCATGTGTGGGCACGATAATCACTACTAGAATTTCTTTTATTACATGCGACTTTTCTTGCGAATTTTTCATAAAAATTCGCAGGAAACGCTGTTCTTGTAAATTTTCCTGCAAAATTTTATCTGCAGGTAATATCTTCGTGGATAATATTTTTTTTGCAAATTTTAAAATTCGCAGGAAATTTTCCTGCGAAATTTCTTGCGAAAAAAATTCGCAAGAAAGTTTCTTATGAATTTTTTCGCAAGAAATTTTGCAAGAATATTCTTTATAAAAAAAATAAAGAAATTATTATAAATTCTATCAATAATTTTTCAACTTTCAAATGCTCACAATAAATTCATCCGAAGCATTTGTTTCCATGCCTCCAACATGTGATACATAATCTTTTAAATTCTAAGATGGTAGATTATAAGTCTAACACTCAACCATATAAATCAACTTGTAAGGTAAGTGTTGCCCCAACTTATATACTCTTTAATTGCTTTATTTTCAATCGATGTGAGACTTGAAGTTTTTTTAAAATATTAAACTTATAAATTTAAATATTTTTTTTTTATTTTTCCTGCGGATTAAAATTTGTAGGAAAATTCGTAGAAAAAGTTACCTACAAAATTTTTCTACCAATTTAGTAAATATTACTTGCGAATTTATTTTTGCAAGAAAATCTGTAAGAAACAAAATAAAATTCTTACAATATTTTCTGCAAATTTTTACCATGGAAAAAAATTTCTATGATTATTAAAATTGTAGCAAAATTTGTAAGAAATATCTGTAAATTATTTTTCGCAAAAAATTTCTGCGAATATTTTTTTGCAGGAAAATTCGTAAAAAATTTCTACGAATATTTTTTTGCAAAAAAATTCGCAAAAAAATTTTACGAATATTTTTTTGCAGAAAAATTTGTAAGAAAATGACACTTTTCTAGTAGTGAATGTTTCATTCCCAATGCCTGAGTACATGGAAAATCCATTAGCGTACAACTCCTTTTAAAAGTCTAATTAATGTATTCCACTAAAATCATGGAAACATATTTTAATTAATGATATTTCAGTTAAAAAATAATTAATAATAAAATGACATAAACTAAATTTTGTATAAAAAATAAATAATTATTTTAAATTAAATTTTATAAATAGGATTGACTATTAAGGGTAGTACTAATTTTAATTTCATGCTTGAATTTCTTCTTTTTTAATCTCTACCTTACACCTACTTATATAAAAAGACAAGAATTTACTATGTTTTTTCATAAAAATAAAATGTGTAAAATATAAATATGAAAAAACTAATTTTTTTTATTTCTTAAATTTCTAATGCATAGGTTTGACTACAGGTGGGTATATGATCAACCCATTTAAGGTTTGACTCGACAAACTTGTGTTTCAAATGAGACAAAAAAGCTCAATTTTCAAAATAGACTTTTTTTATTTATAAAAATAATGATTTTAAAAATAATATTTAAAAAAATGCATAAAATTTTTAAAAAATATTTTTTTTTTAAGTTAAAATCTATCACACTAAAATATATCAACAATTAGAATGATCTTAACTATTAAATATTAAAACACTAATATTAAAAATATTATCCATATTTATATATTAGTCTCAAACTCTCAAATAATAAAAGTATCAAAATATCTTAAAAATAATTCAAATGACATATACACATCAACTAAATATAGTATTAATATCTTAATAATTTAAAAGTCTTAATATACAACTATATATTAAAGTTTTAATATCTTAAAAATTAATTAGCGAAGTTCGTTGGTTAGCCGACGAACTCACAAATTAAGTTTATCAAGTCTGTAAACTTCATGATTGAACTAAACTCTAAACCCTAAACTCTAAATATACAATTATATATTAAAGTTTTAATATCTTAAAAATTAATTAGCGAAGTTCGTTGATTAGCCGACTTTATCAAGTTTGTAAACTTCATGATTGGACTAAAAAAGTATATCATAATAAAATGAGCTAGCCACGAACTTGGATCCATGTATACACCCATAATGTTGATCGCCTAATACAAAGGTTGTTGATAGATTATAGTTGGTTTCTTTAAACTACAACTATAAATAATCTTTAAGTTCTATAAATATAAATTCGTACCCTCTAATCCATAATTTTTTAATATTTTAACTTTTCTCTTTTGTTCCATTTTTTACATATATTTTACACATTTTAAGTTATATTAATTAAATTTTCCTCATATATATATACCCTTATTTAATAATGACAAAATTTAGATACAATACCATAGATATGGTTGATATTGCTTTTTGATCAAAATTAAAGTTTTACCTTGATATTTATATGCATTTATATGCAATGTAGACTTGAATAATATACATTAACATATATTAACAAGGTGAAACTTCAATTCTAATTAGAGAACAACACAATCACACTTATAATATTGTAAATAAGTTTTATGTCCATTTAAAAAACATTATTCTTACTCTATAACTATTCTTTTTAAATATATTAAATGAGAGTATTTTAGACATATATTATTAGTATTTAATATTTTTTAAAAATATGTAAAAACTTTAAATATACAAAATATGATGTAGAAGGAGTACCCGATATAAACAATTGATACTCGACAGGTTGCTTGATAGGTAATGGCTCGTTCTGGGGAGATTATCAAGCAATAGATTATTGGTTCTTGACAAAATTTTATTTGTTGGGTCAAACCCCTTGAAGGTTTTTACAAGATTAATTGTGATGGAATAGTGACCGAAAATCCTATCTCTTCTTGTGGAATAATTATTCAAGATCATCTTGGAAGTGTTATTCTTACTCTTGCAAGTTGGGATCTTGTTTTGATGGTGCAAGTAGAGTTATGGGCAATCTATTATGGATTGAAAATCTTTGGTGAAATATGTTTTATTCAGATTCTGACTATAGAGTCAGATTCTGTTTAGATAGTTAATTTGCTAAAAGAAGATTGCAACAACATACATGTTATGCTTTTGTCAATAAGGTGTTAGTATTGTTGGAATAGATCCATGTTAATTGTTGCACATACTTAACAAAGTTAATCAAGTAGCTATATATTTGCTAAGAGGGGTCTCATCATCATAGGGTAGTTTTCATAATATTTATGAATCTCCACCTCCTTGAATTCATTTTCTTTTGCTTGATGTACCTTTCTTTCTTTTGTGAATTCTAGTTTAGGGTTTTAGCCATCCTTATTGATAAAAATAAAAATAAAAAAATGCATTCATTCTTTATCCTCACTCCGAATGCCTACTTCATCAGTCAAGTACTATTGAAGTCAAGCCATGCTTTGATAGTTTTATAACATAGATATCTTAGGATGGCAACTAAGGTGAAGACTATGGTAGGAGACCACCGTGGGAAAGAGGTTTATGACCCTTCAATTATTTTAATTTTCAATGGATGGTTCTCGATTTACCCTTGTGTTTCTCTTCTTCTCTTCTAGAAAGAACTGCAACCTAAACGAATCCTCTCTTCTCACGTGCCCGGCCTCAACCTAAACCTAGACCGGTGGAAGACATGTATTAGTCTCCAACCCTAGCCTTCACCGGCAATCTAAAGGGTTTCAAAGCTTTATCAAACTAGTTGAAACACGAAAAAATAAAAGTTAAAACCGGAACCAAAATTTAGTAATATAATAGTTAATAATTAATTACCACAACGAATGGATCCCACTTAAGAATTGCATATACCGTCCAGGCGATTCCATTGGCGAAGTTGGTGAAGGAAAGTAAGAAAGGCATGTACTTCACACTCTTCGTTTGAATTACGAGTCGCTGCTCTTTTTTTGGGGGGGGTCAAAATTAAAAAAAAATAAATTAATTAAAAGCAAACAATTATAGCGTTATTACATAAACTGAAAACAAAAAAAAAATTGCATGTTAAGCAAGAGAATTACACGTACCATGACCGTCAAGGGTGAAGCGTACATAATGATGTTGAATACTATGCATATAGGTCCAACAATCAATTTTCTTTTCTTGGGGGTGTGAACAAGGGTCATTAAAAGAGTTACGAGTAACGCAACGAAAATGATTTCACCCAAGACGACTAGCATGATCTTCTTCTGAAATTCGTTAAGTACGTTCATCCAATCCAATTCATCAGGACAAAATAATTACATTAAGTTATTTAAGGATTGATAAGTATAAGATGCATGTATCTCACCCGCTGCTCCCTGGTTGAGTATATTAAGAACATGAGAATGTAAAAGAGCTCTAGGCATAAGCCAAAAGCATTAATTGTTAGGACAAGAATGTTATCCTCACTTACGTAGGGCATTCCATAGAATGACCATACTGCACAATTTAGCAAAGTCGCAATATAAGGATCTGGCTTGAAATCTTGCACCGATTTTGCCTTCCATATTGATACAAATGTAGGTCTGCAAATTATAATTAATATTATCTCTAATCCATCCACTAACAATAGAGAGAGATCGATAGAGAAAGAGGGATTTACACTGGAGACATAAATAAACCGAAAGAGATGATATTTCCTGCAAATAATTAAAATAACAGTGCATGCATTAGAAACTCTTCATTCCACATGATGTTCTATTAATTCTCTTGCAAGTCCTCCTATTACCTTATAAAGAAAGTATTAAATGAAACATTGTGTATATGTATGTATGTAAAAGAAGTAGGAAAATTAGTAGAAGAATATTATTAGAGAATTTATAATTCTTGCATTAATTAAATTGTTCTTGACTTTTTTCTTAAAAGATATTCAAAAACTAGGATTGCAAAAAAAATATGAAATGGAAACGGAAAAAGGAAAAATGGTATGAGGTTTTCATGGACAAACCAACTACTCCAAGGGCAGTTCTTATTGCACCAGTGTTAACCATGGCTGTAACATCAAAAGAAGGTAAACCTAATTAAGAAAGTAATGAAGGTAGAATTGTTTAGGAAACATGTTTTTTTTACATAAAAATAAATATGGCATATATAGTTATCCCAACAGTTAACTAATTTTGGGATGTAAAGTGTTAGTTGTTGACCGCAAGAAACTAGGTTTGAAGTGCTGAGTTATCGACTTTACATTTTAGCCACAAGCAACTTCTCTTTCTACGAATTCGCTGGCTAACCATCTATCATCAGACAACACCCGGGTGTATAGCCACGGATAAAATCTTGAGGTTTCAGAATTTCCAAGTATTCATTTTACATTATTAATTTTAAATGGATAATATGGTTTCTACAAGAAAAAGAAACACTACTACAAGAAATGTTACATATAGTGACATACAAAAAGTGTCACTATAGGTACAATATATGTAGGTATATGTCTATTCGACATATAGTTACACACAATTTTAGTGTTGATTTTGAATGAGATTTACCAACATATTTTGTGTGCCACTATAGCTTATACCCACACTTTTTTTAATAATATACTAACATATATTATAGTTATTGTATAAGTAAAAGTAATTTTTAATGACATGTATAATATCACTATAAAGTGTATGTCACTATGACAATTTTCTTGTAATGTGAAAGATAAATAACTCACTTTTTTTTTACCATGTATTATGAGGTTAACGATTAGTACGTGCTCAAGTGCTCAAGTATGATAATGCACCTATTTACGCTAGAGGTCAAGGATGGGTACTAGTATTATAGTATAAGCCAAAGATTTTAAATTTTGACTAGTAATTGAATTGATACGAAAAATAGTGAATTAAAGTTTGATGATTTTTATTTTATATAAAAGTGTAGATTAGTATAATACATGATTTCATATAAAATTAGGATTAACTATCAACTTCTTTAAAGTTAAATATTTTTAGTGAAATTATAGATCATCCACTCTATTTTTATGGAATATTGTTGTGCATACTTCAATTAATGTACTGATCAAGGTTTTATGAGTCATAGATAGCGACCATGAACGAATCTAAAAGAACAAGCTCTTACTGGTCACTTTGCTATGTCACACGAATGAATACAACTAGTTCCACCATCTGAGCAAAAGAACAATCTAAGCCTAGACATATCCAAGACACCCCACATCTAAGAATATATGTGGATCGATCCTTCTTAACATCTGAGACACCAAATGTCAGAGGATTTAGCTTAATGGAATATGTAAAAAAATATAATATTCCCTAGGATAAACACGTGGTTGCTCGTGTTGCGCCACCACCCGACAAATATAAGTGTATTAAAAAAGTGTTTATTGATTTAAACAATTTTTCTAAGGTAAATAATTTGTGTAAAAATGTTTCCCGACCTTTACAAATGACTCCAATTTAAATATTTAAAGAAAATAATTATAACAAACACTTTATATAGAACATACACATTTACAATAGTTTATATGATTAGTCCAGATGTTTTTTTTTCCTGATTCTACGACAATCATTTCGATTAATCCCTCTTATCGATATATGATTTTCGAGTAATTTAAAAGAATCACCTATAACACAATTGGTCACATTAAAGTTCTAGAGGTTATTAGATAATTTTTTATTCGATGTAATTCATAAGTTTAAAGTGGATTTTCTATATCATTCTATTCCATATCTCTATTTTATCGTAGCTTTCACAATTTTAATGTGATCAATTGTGGAACTTAAAAGCCCACATAGGGAGCTGTTTTTCTTCCTCCAGAGAACATGTTTTATAACGCGTTATTTCTACATTTGCAATAGAACGAAACTTCAACAATATAGAAGGCAAAACTCCCTGTATCTAACTCAATTACGTTTAACCACTCACTTTGAGTGAAACTCAACGATAATAACTTTCTTTCTTAATCATAATAAATTTTAGCTACTTTTAACTCAAGCTTCATCAACTCTGAATTTCTCCGTCAGTGGTAACTGTTGTATTTTCCTTACTTCGCAGGGTTTTATGTATATGTTTTCATATGATGAGTCTGTTTTTATATAACATAGATAATCTTGAATATCAAAATATCTAAATGAGTCTAAAGTTACACTTTTTTGTGTGTGGGTATTCTAACGTTACACATAACAACCGAAAAAACTAGTAAAATTAATTAGTATGCTAAAATTTTCTTCTTAATTTTATATCAAATAATTATTTTCCTTATAAATTTCACATCTTAACATTCTTTACAATAAATGAAAGGGTTTGTAATATATATAAAGATCTAGTTACTTCAAAGATTATATTTAAAAGAGTTTATTTATTTTATTTTTTATCATGTATGATTCTTTATTTTCTTTAAATCTAAACATGTAAAAGATATAAGTTATTTATTAAAACTGTTAGATCGAAATTCTTCTATAAACATATTATAACTATAATTACAATTCACGTTGAGCCTATATTTATAAAAAAAGTAATTGTCTCTCATTTATAATTATAGCCAATATAAGTAATTAATTCGGTAAAAAAAAAAAAAAGCAATATATAAATAAACATATATCCATATATAGCTATATATAGCAGTAAAGTTAAGTGAATAATAAGTAAATATTTTATTTGGTAAGTATATAGATAATGCTCCAGGTAAGTTTATCCAACCTGAATTAATCAAGCTATTAACATATAATTCTCAATAAAAGCAATGTTAGATACACTCATCAAGGCTTCATCTTCGATGTCACTAACTATAAAAAGAAAACTATGAAAAGAGTGCTCAACAGTTTTCATACGTGATAAGTTTGGGAACAACTCTAGGTTTTTGCACCTCAAACTAGTACTAGAATTATTAAATCCGAACTGCACGTTCACCCCCACACACGCACAAATCAAAACTGCATAGTCCAGATAATTGAAATAATCGAGAATAACAAATATATATATTTCCTCGTGGTATCAATTTTTGTTCAAGTCTTCCCCGCAGGTATAATGACAGAAACGTCCAATCGATTTCCCTCTTCATTTGATTTAACATTCCGCACGTTCTATGATTACAAATGATTCAAAGTTTCTGACCGTCTCCACGGAGAAACCAAAATTGGAAAAAAGAAAAGAAACATGAAGTAATCAATCCAGACATATATATAATAATTTCATCATCTAACTTCACACCATTTCAATTCATAACCAGACAGAGAGAGACAAAAAATTCCACTTCCAGCGTGAGCTAAATAAAAGGCTCACTTATTGAAATTAGCTCGCCCGCCACAAAAAAAGCAGAAGCATAGAGCTAATTTCACAAATCCAAAACGTAACAAAAAAAAAAAAAAACAAATGTCGTATATATTTACAGAAAACAAAAGGTTATCAGTTATCACCAAACGTGAAGCGATGGTTCTTGCGGAACGGAGGAACCCTTGAGCCCCAAAGTTCTAGTCTCGTGGAAATCTTGTATCACTCTGATGAGGAACCGCGCTTTCTTTGCGGCGTGAGAAGTCCCCTCCGTCAGAAGCGAATAAAGCAAAGGCATCAGCGAAGGGTCCTTCGCCAGAACCGCCACCACCTCCGCGCCGACATTCACGCTCAGCGACAACAAGATCGAAACACAGTGCTCTTTCCCCGCACGTGACGTCGCAGTTCGCAGCATCCCCGTAATCAACGCCAACGCCGACCCCTGCAAAATCGCACGTGCCCCGTCAACATTCTCGGCCAGCGCCGCAAGAACCGCCAAAGATTCCGCCACAAGCTCCTCCTTATCCGAAGAAGCCAAAATATCAAGCAGCGCGGGAACGGCACCCGCGGAAAGCGCTCTTTGGTGATTCCTAGGAAGTAAAAGTAACCCGAATATCGCAACGACAGCGTTTTTCCTCCCGCAGGTTGTTCCTTCCTTAACTAACTCCACCAACGCTGGAATCACCTCAGGGTTTTCCCCTATTAACTTCCGATACTCTTTAACCGACGAGAGATAAAATATAACCGCAGCCGCGACTTGTCGAGCTTCTAAACTAACTCCATTTTTCAGCACTGACACAATTACGCTTATGCCCCCGCTGGTTATAATACTTTTCGGCCCATTCGAGTCTTTAGAGAGCTTCAATAGAGCAGAGATTGCGTTCTCTTGCGTGGATTTATCCTTCGCAGAGGCTAGAAGCTCCAACAGAGGAGACACTGCTCCCACTTCAACCAAACACGCCCTATTGAAAATGCTGTTTCGGGCGAGCACGCGAATCTCGTGCGCGGCCTTGTGCTTCTGCTCCTCCGTCCCGAACGCGAGCCGCTGCGTGAGGGTCCACGCGAGAAACTGCACGGCGTGCGCGGCCGCGGGACTACCGGCGACGATGTTGCGGTTACGGTTAGAGTTGTTGGCGAGGTAAATGCCGTTGTCGGCGCAGAATTGTTGGATGAGCCTCTTGAGCGTTGTGTTGGGAACTAACTCTGTGGTTGTTAGCTTCTCCCCTGTTTTGGGGCACGTGGTGTTCCCTGCTCTGAGCCATTTCGTAATGGAGGGTCGGTCGTAGGTTTGACCGGTTGACACCGTTACCGGATCCGTCATGAGCTCGAGGGAAATCGGGCAACGGAAATCCTCGGGGTTGAGGGACGTTAATAGCGTTAACGACGTTATTGCTAACTCCGTGCTGCATCTACCTTGGGGGTTATTGGTTTCGAATATTAGTCCTCTGCAGTAAGTTAAAAAGCCTACTAAGCTACTTAGAAGTGGAACCTCTCGCTCCTCGCGGTCGCGGCACTCTAGGTTAATTTCATCCTCGAGGAATTTAATCTCGGTGTTACAATCTGTCCAGGTTTTGATTTGGAGGTAATTGATTATTTGGTGCATGGAAGTGAGGTCCGGTTCGGTTCCTCTGGCGAATTGGCTTATAACCGTGTGGAGGGTTTTGGTGGCACGTGCGTCGCTGGGGTCCACTTCGAACCCGGCTTTTCTGGCTTGCCTTGTCACGAGTTCCGCGAGCTCTTTGACTTCGCGGCACACGTGGAGGTTGTGAAGGGGCAAGACGTCGAGGGAAGTGGCCATGGCGCGGACGAAGGCGCGGAAGAGGGACGCGACGTGTTGCGATTTGGCGAGGAGTAGGAGGCGAGCGCCTTGGAGAGTGAGGTCTTGCATGAGGAAGTGGATCTTCTGTAAGGTGAAGTGGAGCTCGGAGAGGCTGAGGCTGAGGATGGTGGAGTGGGGGATTGACAGGGCGCGCTCTTGAATTTCTTGAAGGAATATCGAAACGATGTTGATTTGGCGTATGGTTTCTCTGGCGTTTCGTCGCTGGGTGGGGAAGAGGTGGGGTTGGTAGTTGCATATGGATTGGGAGAGGGTGATTAGAGAGGCGAGGAGTGTGGGCGGAGATACGGCTTCGCATGGGTGAACCGCCGGGAATGATAGCGTGCGCCGATCCCTTTCAGTCATTGAACTCAGTCACAATAATCAACCAATTACTTCTGGTTACGAGTTAGAACTTAGAACCGTTTGTGTTGTTTGGATAGGAAGGTAGGTGGCGTAATTATTATAGCGAGGGGAACCTGACTGGAGAATCTTCTGGACACGTGGCGGCGTGCCTAGTAGGAACGGGATTGGGGAGGGAGGGAAGATTCGTTTGATGAATATTGAATAGGAATTGGGACACGTGGAAATGACAGATTGTTTGTGTTACTGGGGAATAATAGGAAGGTAAGATCCAATGGGGGAGTGGATTTAGATTTCGCTCGGATGGTAAGAACTAAGAACACTGAGCTTGAACTGATGCTTGGTGGGTCCCACTAACCGACCTCACTCACAGGTGGACAAATTTATTGTCGACGTGTGCTCAGCCAAATCCAAAAAACTTGATTAATTAAAACCGCGCCAAATTTAATAACTCGTGTTTATCGGATCGCTTAATTACAAATAATCGTGCTTTCTTTTTAATAAAAACTAATTAACCAAGATACATATATATATATATATATATATATATTAATCATGCTTCTTTTTTGTTATTTGAATCTATCAATAAATATTACATAAGCGTTCCATTAAGCATACTCTTCTAATTTCCGATCACAAATCTAGAATGATGGTTGGCAAATAATTTTATTATTTAAAATTTAAATTAAATATTTTGATTTAATTTTTTTAACGTTTCCTATATCAAGTTAACAAGTTACATTGTTACATATTTATTTGACCAGGTCTTATTCGTCTATTTCTGTTATTCGTTGGTTAACTTATATACACGTTAGGCTTTCGATTATTTTACCATGCCTTGTAAGTATTGTGTATGGAAGTTTCAAAATTGTGACTCGTTTTGGATAAATAATTTTTTTATATTTAAATTAATATTACTGAATTGTTCTACACTAAAAAAAAGTGTGTATTATTACTAATATAAATAATAAATAAAATTTTTTTAAAATATGTTATAAAAAATAATATCATTTTTATATATTGTGTTATATATATATATATATATATGCATATATGCATGTATGTGAATAGCTATAATAGTTCCACAACATATACGCTCTAAGACTGGTTGCCAATTATTCTAACTACTACGGTCCAATTAAATCTAAACTATAAAGTATCTAAAAAGTCTAAATAAAATTATTAAATAAAAATGTTTGATTAAACTAAATGAAATCAAGAGCACTCACGCCAAAAGTGGAGCATGTTTGAATGTGAAATTACATTTATAGGATCATCAAGTTATAACTATTATTTTTTTAATTACATTAAAAAAATACAAATCACATCAGAATCTGAAAACTAGATACAATTTTTCTTAGTGTGTTTATTATTCTAAACACACTAGTGATAACTTTCGAGTTTCAATAATGAATCATTCGAGAATGGGAGATCAAATTATCACATAGTACAGAAGGAAACAAATAAAGGAAGCATCATGGCCCTTTCATTTAAAAAATATCATAAAGTTATTAAACTTTCTTTAAAAGAGAATAATAATACCTTTATTAATAATTTGTATTTTATTTTCTCCTATTTATTTGAAATACAAATGAAACATTTTTTTTAATTCTTTTTATATTTTACAACTAGGTATAACAACAAAATGGACCAGGAGTGAGTTTGGTTCCCCTTCTCTTTGTCCTGGCAAAATTCAACACATGTTTAGATTTATAAAAAGGTGGGAAAAATAAAAAAATAAACTCAATCTCATCGATCTCCATCAGATTTTACCAAGTTTGGGAGAGAGAAAAAAACTCATAGGGGAATCCACCTTATATATTCTAAATTTTCATTTACTTATATATTTTCAAACAAATCATATACTAATTTATTAAATGACAAAAAACTTAAAATTAAACATTTAAAAATCAAATTAAGTTTTTAGTTAACTGTATAATTTAATTTTTATTTTATCATTATGATAATAATTATTTAAGAACAATGATATATGTATAACGACTTTATGAATATATTTTTTGGGTTTATATTCCTTTATCACGTCATTTGTTGCATTTTATTTTTTTTCTTTCTTTTTTCTCTTTCTCCTTCTTTATCTTTGTATAAATTAATGTATCTGTACTGGCCGCATCCCGCATTCGGGCTCTAAGTCCGGACTAGCGAGACAAAGGTCATACCGGGCACGCGCTGAACAATAACAGCCCGGAGCCTGGACAGATCACACCTGAACCCGGGGACCTCATCTCAGGCCCAGGGCCCAATACAACCCTAAACGACCTCAAGGTACGTGCATTATATATATGAGACTATTATTCGTGCAAACCCTAACTTTGGCATCGGAGTCTCTTTTACAGGTACCTCCCCCATCTTGGAGCACCAATACATCACCAAAGGAGGCTCACCGATCTTACCCGGCGGATCAGCTCTACAACAGATTTCCGGTAAGAACATTTGGCGCCCACCGTGGGGCCGATCAGACCAAGCTCTTATCGGCTACCCTCACGGTCCGTACCAGGAACCGTATCAGACGAGCACCCAAGCAAAATGAGCAACGAACATACAGCTTCAGGAGACTCGACCTACGTCACCAACCTGACAATCCTAAAGAGCACAACTGCCCGCGCTCAAACCCAATGGCGGTACCCCGATCGTCCCTCCGACTCACCACTCGGCCTCGGCGAGACAGTCCGGGACCTGGAAGACTGAGGAGCAGGGCCTAGCCCCCCAAACCAATTAGTAAGCACAATTGCGGGCGGCTTCGCAGGGGGCGGCGCCAGCAGCTCGTCCCGAAAAAAACACCTACGTAAAGTCAACCGCGTACACCCCACCACGTATACTGTACACCGAGACTCGCCCACCATATCTTTCACCAACGACGACTACGTCGGAATCAGTCCAAATCAGGACGACCCCATGGTCGTGACAGTAACTTTAGCCAATTGGGAAGTTCGCAGGACCCTGGTCGACCAGGGAAGCTCGGCCGATGTCCTATACTGGCCAACATTCCTCAGGTTAGACATTCCCCACTCTCTCGTACAACCTCACACCGAACCTTTGGTCGGTTTTGCAGGAGCAACCATCCACCCCAGAGGACGAGTGGACCTATTGACGACCTTCGGAACACCGCCGGCCTCCCGGCAAATCCTGGTTCGGTACCTACTGGTGGAGGCCAACTCCACCTATAACACCATCATCGGCAGGTCAACCCTAAACCAACTCGGGGCGGTAGTGTCCACCCCGCATCTTACCATGAAATTCCCGGGGCACGACGGAAAAATCATCTCCATCAGAGCAAACCAGCACCATCCACCCTAGAGGACAAGTGGACCTATTGACGACCTTCGGAACACCGCCGGCCTCCCGGCAAATCCTGGTTCAGTACCTACTGGTGGAGGCCAACTCCACCTATAACACCATCATCGGCAGGGCAACCCTAAACCAACTCGGGGCGGTAGTGTCCACCCTGCATCTTACCATGAAATTTCCGGGGCACGACGGAAAAATCATCTCCATCAGAGCAAATCAGCAGAAAGCGCGTCAATGCTACATAGACAGCCTAGAAACTACCCTCTCAATCAGACAACACAAAAGCGACTTCACTGTTCTAACTCGTGCTGACCACGAGGAAACCACCGACCTCGATCCGAGATCCGACGCTCACGATGAGCGGCCCAGTCCCGTCGATGAGCTCGACGATCTCCAAATCGGAAAGCTCCCCAACCAAACAACAAAGATCAGCAAACAATTAGACCCCAAACTACGACAACAACTCCAGGAAGAAATCCTCAGGAACGCCGATCTCTTCGCTTGGTCCAGCGCTGACATGCCCGGCATAGACGCCAACTTCATCTGCCACAGGTTAGCGATACACAAAGAGG